TTTATATTTACAACATCCTGTATTTAAAAGCCATCATTCTGAAACTAGAATAGTAAGATATATGAAATATTTGGAAAATAAAGATGTATCTCTTGTGCACAGTATGATTCCTTTAGTAAGTCTATTACTTTATAATGAAATTATATAATGATAATATTTAATTATAATGAGCTATTAAATATTATAATTTTAAATTGTATAATAGGGTTCATGTACAATGAAGCTGAATTCAACAACCGAAATGATGCCGTGTAGCTTACGAGGATTCACGGATATACATCCTTTTGCACCAATAGAGCAAGCACAGGGATATCAACAATTATTTTCAGAATTAGAAAAAGATCTTTGTGCCATAACAGGATATGATAACATCAGTTTTCAACCAAATAGTGGGGCTCAGGGTGAATATGCAGGTTTAAGAGCTATACATTGTTATCATGAATCAAGAGGGGCTAATCATCGAAAAGTTTGTTTGATTCCTGTGTCTGCTCATGGAACAAATCCGGCTTCTGCACAAATGGCTGGTATGCAAGTGAAACCTATATTTGTATGCAAAGATGGTTCTATTGATATTGTGCACTTGAAAGAAGTAATAGAAGAATATCAGGAAACATTATCGTGTTTAATGATAACATATCCATCAACAAATGGAGTATTTGAAGATACCATTGGAGATATATGTACTCTAGTTCATAATGCTGGTGGTCAAGTATATCTCGATGGTGCAAATATGAATGCACAAGTTGGCTTATGTCGACCTGGGGATTATGGTAGCGATGTATCGCATCTCAACTTACACAAAACATTTTGTATACCTCATGGTGGAGGTGGTCCTGGCATGGGACCCATTGGGGTGTACGTAATTCATTATGTATATGCTTTCTTACTCTCATTTATCTTCAAAAAATAATGAAGTTATATATTTACAGAAAGAAACATCTTGCACCTTTTCTTCCAAATCACCCCGTGATAAATTCTACAATTAACAATGTAAAAGCTTTAAGAGAATCTGGTGCTGTATCGGCAGCTCCTTTTGGTTCATCTGCTATACTACCAATCTCATGGGGTTATATAAAAATGATGGGACCAAAAGGTTTACGTAAAGCAACACAAGTGGCTATTCTTAATGCAAATTATATGAGTAAGAGATTAGAAAAGTATTACAAAACACTATATAAAGGTAGGGAAGGATTAGTTGCCCATGAGTTTATCTTGGATGTACGAGATTTCAAAAAAACTGCAAATATTGAAGCAGTAGACATAGCTAAAAGATTAATGGATTATGGTTTTCATGCTCCTACTATGAGCTGGCCTGTAGCGGGGACTTTAATGATAGAACCAACTGAATCAGAGGACAAAGCTGAATTAGATAGATTTTGTGATGCTCTTATTTGTACGTTTTATACATAATTACTAATATAATATTTAGAATATCACATTTATATATTAAATACGTATATTTTTACAGCCATAAAAAATGAAATTAATAATATCGAAAGCGGCAAGTTCGATATAATTCAAAATCCTTTAAAGAACGCACCTCATACACAATTACAAGTTATTGTAAAAGATTGGGTTTTGCCATATTCTCGAGAAATAGCTGCTTTTCCTGCTGTAAGTATTATTATTTTAAGAAATCGTTAATCAACAACTCAAACTAATGAACAATTAATATATTTTTATTTTAGCCATTTGTAGAGAAAAGCAATAAAATTTGGCCTAGTGTGGGTCGAATAGATGATACATACGGAGACAAAAATTTGTTTTGCATCTGTCCACCTGTTACATCATATTAATTAGACTTTAAATATTTTTTTTGTACAGTTATGTATAAGTATTTATTTATATTTTTATACACATATAGTATCATTTGTATATATGTGTATATGTTTGTGTATATATATATATATATATATATATATATATATATATATATAAACATACACACACACATTTCGCTAAAAGCCCAATAACTCTTAAAACTGATAATTGAAATAAAATTATATATTTCTGAAGATGTAAATGTAATGAATTATTTACATGTATAACAAATTATATTATAGATCTATAATTACGGCCGCGTTTTGTATTGTTTTCATTGTACATGATAAAAAATGTCTTCATATATGAAGACTACATCTTCAATTTGTACATTTTCTAATATTTACTTATCTATAGATATTATTAATTATATTTTTATTAAAAAGCAAAGAAACGTATTACTGATTTATTTATATTTAGCTATTTTCTATATTTACACGCGTTTCCATATAATATCTATATTACAAACCAGGCATAAGATATGCGATATTGTCAAGCATTTGTGATAATGTTTCGTGTTGGGCTCCATTAATTTCTGGTACCTGTTGTGTAAGACATATCAAAGGACCTAATGCACAGAGCAACGAGTCCAATAATACCGACAAACTACCCGAAACTGCTATTTGACCGTCATGTTCTTTTAAACGTTCACCTATAATGGTTAAACTTTCACCAAGTAATTTGAGATGTGCCGCAACATCAATGGGTTGTGTTCCAATTACTTTGTACATTCCTGTACCTATTATAGGTTCATTAACCAAATCTTTCCCACCTTTATTTGTTGGAGGTGACACAGGTACATTTCCTATAACAGAAGGTACGCCTAACTGAAGAGTTTTTTTCGAAGAGATTGGTTTAGTTTCTTTTCCATTACCTGTAATACAAAACAGATAAATACATTTAAAAAATTACAAAACTATATATTTGTATTATTATAAATACTATTTATATACATGTAAAATATTCATAGCTTGATATCTATAAAATAATTCAATGCTATGCTACAAATAAGGTATTAACAATTCTGTAGCTAATGCACGTGCAATAAAGCAGATTAAGATGAGTCGTCTAGCATATAAATTTAACAACTTCATAACAATTTTTCATTAATTTGGAAATATCAATTGACCCACCAATTTTATTTATGAACTTTTTTCGAGAAGCAGGTGGTGGCATTTTCCAAACAGACTCATCTTTATTGGTAGGCATAGAATGAGGTTTTGCTGCTAAACGCTTCGCGCGTCTACGCCAGTTATATTTCTCCAGGTTTGGCACTGTGGCCCAAAGTTCACCTAATCGTTTAGAAATTGCAGCAAAATCTATAAAAAGCAATAATCAATAAAACAAGAGTACACTAATAAGACAAAGGCCTATTTGTACTATGCTTGTACCAAAGAAAAAACTGAAAAAGCATATGCATACCCATATAAGGACATTGTTCCAGTAGTTCTTGCCTTATTTCTTTAGCCCATAACATATAGGCAGTAAATCTTGTTTTCTGAAAAATTATCAATTTGTACACAATTTATCTTCCAACCATTTTTGTTTGTACATACCCCTTTATCTTTACGTTGTGCCTTCATTCTGCCTATTATTTTGCCATCCTTAATAATTAATTTTTTTTTACATTTTTCAAGCATATATAAACTATTTGCTTGAGAAGGTGTTTCCTGACCTGGTGGTTCTAATTTTCTAAATCCAGTTTCTCTGTCATCGATCATGAGAGGATCTATTTCATCATCACTTCCAGAATCCATGCTATATCGTTCATCTTCGTTCAACCCGATGGGATCATCTGAATCCGATGCTGATGACTGGCCTTCATTATCAGATATTGGTTCTGTTTTAACTCTTTGCTGTCCAGAATGTGACCCTGAATTTTTTCTCTGTCGTCCAGCATGAGTTTGTTGAATTTGACTAGGAGACATATGATGCTGTGCTTCATATTGTTCCAACAATTGTGATGCTTGTAATTGCGTTTTTTGTCGCTTGTATTTATTTTCCGAGAAGTCATCAGGCGATTCAAAATCAACAAGCTTAGAAGATTTCTTTCTTACGCGGCCACTTCGGGAAATCCCTGTGACCTCTAGATCTGAAATATAAAGCAGACTGCACCTTGCCAAGAAAAGAAAAGAGTTCAAAATAATTTATAGCATCAAACTATATGATCTTGTAAATTACCTACAATTAAAAAAGTACTACAGCTTTGCAAATGATAAAAATACGAAATACTAAGGGTGTGAAGGTACTTCGTTGCGATATATATTATTTGCTTTTCATATATATATACATACATATATATATATATATATATATATATGTATATATGTGTGTGTATAACGAGAGTTAATATAAAAAATTAATAAAACTATAATATAAATGTACATGTAAATTACGCCAAATGCAATAAACTATTTATGAGCTATCAAGAAGATATTTGTAATGGATGTTAAAGCTATGCTACAAAAAGTTATATATATTATAATATTAATTTTATCATTTTTTTTCTTAAATGCATTTTCTGCTATGCTAACATTATATTATTTATATTTTATAAATATAAAAAAAATTTAACCACGAAATGACCATACACCGCTTTAGTTTGTTTACATTCCGCTGCATACAGAAGCGCTACTAACCAAAATACGACTCTTAGTAAATATTGCTAAAGAATCAATAAATTTATGCTTCATGCACGCATATCATGCAAAATATTGCAAGCAATATCAGCAAACAAGCATTCGATCTACTTGATGTTTTCTAGAATAATATATTAACATCTCTCACCGTCACTTTTCTGACGTTTTGGCGACACGAACACATCCATTGCACCAGTCTTCCGATCGGAAATCTTCGAATGCTTATTGCGCCGCGATGATTCCTTAGATTTCGCGGGCTTTCGAATATTGCTTTGCATCATGCACAATAGGCTTAAAAATAATTATATTTTAAGAATAAAATTCTTTTACTTTTTTTACGATAAAGCCTGTTATGTACGCACAAGATTATTTACTAATGTTGTTTTTAAAAACAAGTGCAAAGGATATTAGAATCAATGCGCATGTCATTTTACATTCCACTTTGGCGCGTTATTTAAATCGTAACCATATATCGTATACGTATACAACGTATATTTATATATATTAGGAAATTATCATTAAAAAGTTTACAAATTATTAACTGTGATGGCGTTTCAGAATAGAAAAAAAATCGTTCTTTTTATTAAAAATGTAAGACTTATATTATATACAGTAATTCGTTTTTTTTTCTTTAATGTTATTTCATATATTACAATTAAATTTCATCTTCTTGCTGCCAGCCATCGTCATTAGATAAAAATCTTCTTTTATGAGTGGTATTCATATATGGTCTTAATGCCCATTCTGTATCAGCAGCACCGGCGGCATCTAATGTTCCTAATTTGATCTCATATAATTTTAATTGGAACCTTGGTCCAATTTCTTTCAGTTCGATATCTTTTCCATTTACTTTCTTATACGTATGATGACGGAAACATATATAATCGTCATGATTGGCAAAAGTAATAACTCTTTTGCTATCTTCTTTTGGAACTGGGAATAGATATTTGAGAATGCTCATGATTCTATTGGCTAACTTTGTTTTGAAATTGTGAAAAATCAAATGAGGATACTCTTCTGACATAGTTCCAATTTCTGGTATATCATGTCGCATAATGACATCTGATATAGTAAAATATGCAGTTGGTCCATAAGGTAAATGACATATTACAAGAGTATCAGGAATGCCTCTATGTTCATGGACGATTACAAAATCTGTTACATCATTTGCCCTGCACGCATGTATCAATTGTTTCATTTCATAATTACCACGATTCATTCTTTGGGAATTAGGTAGAATTAAACGTAATTCTTTCACAAACATCTTAAGCCTTGAACTAGGATCACGAGAAGTTGTAACAACGATTTTTGGATTTTCAACTCCTGCCCAACGATATTCATCATCCTCATGGGAAGCTACAGTTCCGCCTACTTCTGTACCCATAGTCACTGCTAATTCTGGTCCTAAATCTTCCCATTCTATCTTTTGTTGCAACGATAAAGCACTTTTTCTTAAATCTGGATGTATTGGAATGTTTTCTTCCAAGCTACGTTTTAACTTATCCTTTTTTTCTTGAATGCTCTTTAATTTATCTTGAACGGATTTTCTATAAAGATACTCTCTTCGAAGTCGTGCTTGTCTCCGTAACATTTTAATCCTTTAATATCTTCTTATACAATTTTATTATAAAAAAGAAAGTTTAAATATTATGATAGTTTTAATGTTTCCTTATAGGTTATGTTTAAAAATTCACGTGTTGCTCTTCTAGCACATGTTTCAATGAATTCTACTACACCAGAGTAATGAGAACGATAAATTTTATTGTATTGTATTTTCTCTGCACTCACGTGTTCGCTTGATAATAAATCGAAACAAAAAAGAAAAGTAAAAGAATCGCGCGTGTTCTCTATATTTGTAATTCCTTCTTAGACTCAAGTGGCCTCTGGTATAGTTTTACAAATAAAATCGATAAACCACCCTATTTATTATCAATATATTATATTTCAATTAATATCTTTACGAATATATATACATAATCATTGTATATAAATAAAATAAAATAAAATAAGATATATCTCTCATTAAGTGCTTAAACGTTTATGCATTTTTCAAAAGAAAATAAATTCGAATATATCGATAATAAGAAAAAAAAAAACTCTACATTACGGTCTAATGATAAGTTACCGACCAAATTTTGAATCTTACTTCTTATCGACTACCGTTAATATACAAAGTTATGTCGATAAATAGAAAAGACACTAATGAAATTATCGACAACGAAGAAACCTTCAAAGACATTTGTTCTGTAATTACCATCTTTGCAATAATATTAGGGAGACCGGAAAGTAATGTCGCTTTCTTAAATTAAATTCAAACGAATAAATTTTTAACAAGTTTTTATTTTTAATCGCAATCAAATATCGACGTGCGCAACAACGACATTACTTTACGGTCCCCCTAATATTTGTGAATGTTATTCACTGAATATTTATATATTTTAATAATAATATAATAGTTATTATTCACTGAATAAATAAATCATTCTGACAGAATCGCAAAATGGATTATTAATATGATTAAATTAATAAATTTATTATATATAATATTATTAAGGGATGATGCCTGTTAACATTATTTAAATGTTTAAAATATCTCTGTGATTAACAAAATAAATATCTTAACTTATATCAATTGAATCTGTCGCTTTTATCGTATACATCATACATTGCATTCTATTTTTAATCTTTTCACTATATATGTATATATCATCGTCAAACTATTCGTATTGTCAAAATAAAAAAAAAAAAGAAAAAAAAAAGAAAAAAAAACAAACAAGAAATCAACGCGGATATGATGGATTAAAGAATTCAATATAGGTTGTTCGACAGTGTCTGGGTAAGGGAATAGATATGAGCTATTGTTCTCGCCACTTGACTCAATTAGATGGTCAATCGGAGTTACGTAACACGCAAAATATTCGCCTACCTAATATGCTCGTGTTATTACTAGATAGCAGAGACTAACGATTAATACCCTACCTTGAACAATGATTTAGCCAATGAATGAGCGATGTTGTCGTTGATACATCACACATCATTGATGAGGATACTTTTACATTTTCGTCTTGCTTGTTTTTTCATATATTAAGCATGTACGATAAAAAAATGTCTTCCTGCCTTCCTGCTACGTATAACTTCTATACGTGATAACTTTTATATATGTGCGCGCGTATGTGTGCGTGTCTACCTTGAAAAAAAGAAAAAAAGAAAGAAAAAAAAAGACAAGACAAGAAGATTAATACAACAATGTTGATGTTTTATAAAGAGATAATCGCTATATAATATCAATTAGATTTGCTTGTTAATGAAACTTATTTTGTTTGCTTATACATTAAAAGATGTACTTTCTGTACTACGAAGGTTTAACGAAGAAATAAGCCCTTTCATAGATTTCCACTGGCGATTTATGTAACAAATTTGAAAAGGATAAATAAATTAGAAAAAATATATCGTATATTCTAATTTGATAAAGACTTTCCAAAACTTTTACAAGACGTTACACTTTCAAATACGACATAGTTTTTTTCAACTTGATCGAAAGTATAATAATTACTATCGATAGTTGATCGATAATCAATTTAAAATAGATGTGCGATGTAGATCTACGAGCTGCGAGGAAAACATCGGATAAATATTAATTTTTACACGTAATCTTTAATCGAATTGATTTTGAATTATTCATCCAATGATTATCTATAAGTAAAACTTTTCTATTATGAATATGTAAAAAGTATTCTCACATATTTTAATATTTAACATAATTTTGGAATCTCTGATTGAATCCATTCTTCTAAAATACATGTTTAAATGATTAACGGTAGTCATAATAATTTTATTATTACAAGATACCGATCAATTCAAAGAAATAGATGATTCAAGAAAAGAGATAAAGATATATGTATTATACATATGTATACATATCTTTTCATTTTACGAGGATCGCCGTGACGCATCCAAAGTAACGTGTTTATTCTATGCACTTTGTTATTGTTTCTTTCTTCTCTCTCTCTCTCCCTCTCTCTCACTCGCTCTCGTGGTATTTGTATTGTTGACTTGGAAACGATCATGAATGATTGATAAGTAATGTATGGAGCATCATCTTAAAGAAAACAAGAAAGAAATATATTCCATAGTTACGTGTAATGCAAATCTGCAAATAACGATATTCGCCCAAGGATCAAATTTATAATCGTTCGTTTGAGGATTAAATTTATGATAATAAATAGCATAAAAATAAATAGCATAAAAATAAAATAGCATAAAAATTTTTTACTTATTTATTTCGAATCTTCCTATGATACCAATGATCTTTATTTGATAATGAGAATATTCATTTGATTGCGTTTTTATTTTTCTTTCGCAATCACTTCATGTATGTATATGCCATTAGTATTACTGTGGAAAAAAGTATATACATAAGTACATGCATATATATATATATATATATATATGTATGTATGTATATATGTACTTGAAGAAAACCATTCTTTTTCCATATGAAAATATGTTCGTAATTTAAAATTAGATATATATATCTAATTGGAAATCTTATTGCTTAATGATTATATGGGATTTAATATTACTCGTAATTGGATACGCTTCCATAATTTTGTAGCAATGTATTATAAAAAGAATACGATCAATAGCATTATACGCATTATGAGACAACTATTAATTAGATGTAAATTATTATGAGATTTATAAATACGAGAAATCAAGAAATCAAAGAAAAGAAAAAAAAACAAAAAAAAAAAAACAAGAAATCAAAGAAAAGAAAAAAACAAGAAAAAAAAACAAGAAATCAAGAAAAAAAAGAAAAAGAAAAAGTCACTAAGTATAATCATTATCAAGTAAACTTTCATAAAATAATGTTTGGTCTTACGTAAGATTTGAAAGGTATTTAATATAAAATCTAATGTGAGACTTGAAACGTTGAATGTATACATTTTTAAAGGTCGTTATTTTTTTTTTCTTTCTCACAATTTAAAAATAATTTCGCATAGATAAACATATACATATACAATATTATATTTTACGTGAGTATATACACACACACTCACTCACCTACCTACACACACCTACACACACACACTCACCCACTCACCTACACACACACACACACACACACACACACACACACTCACCCACCTACACACACACACACATTCACATAATATAAAAATATTAAATTATGTACATACGTATTTATATTCGCATGTTATATAATATTGAAAATTATAACACGAAATTCTATGTTCTTTCTTCATTCATCTTTTGTTAATCTAAAAAAGAAAACAAAAAAGTATATAAAAATCGATATTTCAGGAAAGAAAGAAGTAATAATTGCATACTGAATAATAATAATTTGTTACTCTACCTGATCATATGTACTAGATACACGAACATAGATACTCTACCTGATCATATGTACTAGATACACGAACATCTTTAATTGATATTTTTTTTTTTTTTCATTTATTACTATATATACTTTGTATTAATGTGTATGTATAAGTCGAAATTCATTCCTATATTAATTTCTTAATTACAAATCATTTTTAATGACATTTATTTAATTTATATTAATTGCAATGAATGTATAAATTGTAATCTATTCAAGCATCTTTTCCATTTTTTTATTCGTTTTTTCCTCTTAAGCGACATTCCAGTGACGGTGTTATGATTTGAAGAAACTGTTGCATACTCGAAGGAAATACGATGGAAATCCCGAAAACGTTCTCAAGATTGGAATTCCCATCTTGTAACTCGAGCATAAATGAGAATATCTTCTTTAATAGAATTTACATAGTCTCGTTTTTTTCTTTTTCTTTCTCCCTTGTGTTTTTCTAGTTAATATTTGCGCTTTATCACTTTTATATACTTTCTGCCTTTAACCGTAGAGATCAATAATTAGAAGAAAAAAGAATATCACGGAAAAGATTGTTTCTAAGGGGAAATTTAAAATTCCAAGATTTTCCTACGATATTATTAAATAAAACTAGATTTCTGATCGATCAGTCAAAGCGATTGTTTCAAGCATCGTTATAAATTTTTATTGAAATTTTTTTTGACACACACACACACATATATACATATGATGACTTTTGCTAGATATATATATATATATATATAATTAACTTTATAAATTTTATTTTTCCTCTTTCCTCCTATTTTTTTTTTCCCTTTGAGATATACATAAAGTATAACTTAATACATCGGAATAAAATATATTGTCGATAGTTTTAATGTTAATCGATAAAAATTGTTGGATTTTAAATGATTAAAATATAAATGTGAGATTCGTTGGTGTTATCGAGTATTACAGATGATTTCATCGTTTCAGCAAACAGATTCTGTTACCTTGCGAAAAACTAAGGGAGAATAACAAAAAAAAAAAATAATAAAAAGAAATACACACACATACATATGTACATACATGTATATATATAATTGTTCAAGGAAAAAAGTAAAAACTTAACAATTCACTGGCTCTCAGTCAAGGTTGTCCTCGTTCTTACTTTTTGTTCTCATGAAATTACTGCAAAGTGACTACGTAAAAATCATATTAAATTCCTTGGTGGAAATATTGATAGAGTAATATACTATTTAAGAACGAGTCTTGACTTTTAGATTGTGTTTACTCAAGGTATATATATATATATATATATATATATATATATATATGTATGTATATATATATATGTATATATACTTTAGTTCATACGTTAAATGTTTATGAAATATATAGTTGAAATATATATAACTCTCTTGCAATAGCATCAACAATAACAATAATAATGATAACAATTTATTATATATAAATATTCAGATAAATAAGATATTTAAACGCATCAATGTCGAAAAGCAAACAAAACGAAATAAGTAAGTAATAATAATTGATCTTATTGTAATTTTAGAACTAAATTTCTATTGTAAATAAAATTTCTATTGTAAATAAAAATAAAAAAAAAGAGAAATACACGTGATTCTTTGAAAACAAATACAAATATTGATAAATCGTCAAGGTTGAATTATTGAAGATCGTAAATAATTATTTTCCTTTTTCTTATCTTACTTCTTCCTCTCAATCATCGATAAATATTTTTAATAGTGCAATTACAAAATTATTATTGGTAATTTTGTACTTGCCGATAAAAGAAACGCATGAATGGCTATCGTGTGAGCCATTATCAAATATAATTATTCTCGTAACTGAATACTTGAATATATACAATATATACAATACTTGTAGCATACTTGAACTATGTAATAAGTATATATATATATACACATATGTATATATATATATTCATCCTAGAGAGATATCTTCGATAATTTTACATCTAATGTCTATGACTACTGTGTTTGTTTTATCTCGTCGGTATCGATTGTGAGAGACTTTGACGCCTGCACGAGAATTATTCAAAGATGATATCTCCTTCTTGTAACAGAGCCGACGCCGAGAGTTCTAGTCATTCACTTTCTTACTGTTGATAATTTTATCCAATAGTAGTAGTAGAAATAACAATTGTAGTATTGTAGCAATTGTGGTATTAACAGCAGTAGGAGTAATGACAGATTGGTGATAGCACACTTGTGAACATTAGTAAAATACTTAAAATAATATTATACTTATAATTTAATAGTCGCGGAATGATAGTCGCGTACTTTAACGTTTTTTATGTCAAAAAATATTTTTAGAAAATAAATATTAATTAATTTTTAAAAATTACTTTCAGTTTATCCCGTTTAATGTCAAAAGGATATCGACGTTAAAATATTCGAAGTTGCTTAATCTGATGATCAGTGATTATGGCTTCTATAATCGACTTCTTCTTGGCAGGAAAATTATTGAAAAATATTATCGATTACGGAAAGAAAGGAATTTCTACTGATCGAGCGAATCTTTCGACGTAGCGATGAAATTAGAAATTAGCGTATATAGGAATGTTATTTTTAATCTAATCTATGAAAGTCAAAGTTCGCTTGAGATTCGTCGTCTTTGGAAACGATTTAATATCTATATATATATATATATATATATATATATATATATATATATATATATATATATTTGTATATATCATCTTTAAAATGAAACGATCGTCAAAAGTTTCTAAAATTAATAATACAACATTTTTCAAGGATTAGACTTGAAAAAAATATTAATACATCAATGCAAGAAATCTTATCGCAACTTCCTTTCTATTAAATCATTCATCTTTATTACTTAAAATTATAAATTTTCAGATATATCCGACATCAGACAGTGTTTACAATTTTATAAGAAAATTTGAGCATATGTAAGTTGCTTTCAAAGTGAGTGCCGTGATTGTTCACACCGAATCAAAAACAACAATGCGTAGACGATTCAGAGCACTGTTTGAAGTTGTTCAAGCGAGATAAAAAGGATTTCTTGCATCGGTGTGTGACAATGGATGAAACATGGAACCATTACTATACATCTGACTCAAACGAAGAAATGATTGCCGAAACTGAGAACTATTTTGCGAACAAAGACAAATCGTTCTAAAAAAAAGACATTGAAAAGTTAAAGGAGCGTTGGATGTATCACTCTTGAAGGAGAGTATGTTAATGAATAAAGTCGAATTTCTAAAAAAAAATTTGTTTTTCCTAGCTAAACGGGAAACTTATTGAGTGATGTGTTAATTTAAAATTTAAATAAATAATTTAAAATCAATTCTTATAAAGATCATATGAAAATTAATATTTTGTGTCTAGTTTTTTTCTCAACTCATAAATCCTACATTAAATCAATTTTTAATTATTAATAATTGATAATTATCAATCAGCTTTCGATAACAAGTATATTGTCAAATGAAACGTGCAAAATTATATTGTTTTCAAAAATGGGTCTGTCAAAAATTGGCCTGTAAGAGTTTGGGAAGCCCTGGTTTAGACAAATCAGTAAGGTTTATAGTAGGGAATTGTTGCAGCGTCACGAAACAGTGCCAGCACCGCGGAGAGTTGAGGCGCTGCTGTGAATGTATAAAAGCTGGTGAGTTCACGGGAGGATACAGTTCCATGTCGGTGAGCAAGCTGATACCGATGCGCGGAGAAAGACGTGAAAAGAACGGCGAACACGAGGACGTATCCTATTATACTGTAGTAGATTTTTCTTATTGCTCCAACTATAAATTGCTGAAATAAGAGCAAGAAGGAAGAAGAGGTAGAAGAAGAAAAAGAAGATAATAGCACTATTTATTGGTGACGCTCAAATGCGCCTCATTTGATAGAGAAAGACAGACAAAGAAAGAGAGAGAGAGAGAGAGAGAGAAAAAGAGAAAGAGAGAGAGAGAGAGAAAGTTCAAGTGAAAAAGGGAGAGAAAGATTTTAACATAGAGAGACAGTCGGGCTTCCCCCATATTTTCCTCTCAATATAAATATATGTGTATATATATATATATATATATATATATATATATATATTTTTCTTAACTGCGTAGAAAACTAGTTGAAAGAATTTTGTTTTTATACTCAAAAGAGAATATTGTGAGATCCGCTCGTGAAAGAAAAAGTTAAAACGGCGAGAGTATGTACAATAAGTGAAAGTATAAATAGGAGTCTACCTACAGTATCATAAAATTTTATACAGTTAAAGAATTGATCGATCGGTCTTTTGATAATAAGAAGATAAATATTTTTAAAAGTATTGATCATATCAACGTGGTGAGTATCGAAGATATCTTTCGATAATCTTTATATAACTCAATAATATTGTAACTGATAGCTAATTAACATATATTGTGTTCCTTGTTACA